AGGTCTGTTTTCACACAGGCTCAACGGTGACCTATTTGACACAAAGTGCCAAGAAAACAGCGTGCTTAAAACCTCATCTGATGGGAACACATCCAGCCTTTTGAGTTGGAGAAATAAAGAGACTGCTGGTGAAATAAAACAACAAGGACGGTGAGCAGGGGTTGCAAGAGAGCTGGAAATCAGACAGATCCGTCAATAGCTCCACGCTTGATGTGGCATAAAGGGGCCTTCTGGTTGACCGCCTCTGTTAAGGCCGACCTAAGATGTCTGGCCCTCGCTGACCTCATATACACTATCGCATTGTCGGCCCTGGCTTTAACCTCAACAGCTTGCATCGCCACAGAGGCCCATTATAGTGCCAGTAATGATTTGGAGGATTCCCTCAGCAGCAGAGTATTAATGCAGGGAGTCTCATCCTGCACGACGACAAGCTTATCATGTTATTTAATGATACTGCATTACAATAACATGAATTAGATTCATTATGCATATGTTTTGGATGAGCCGTTGTCAAGAAATCAAAGTAATCCACAAGAGAATTGTTGCTTTTAAAAGGTCTATCGGATTATTGTTTAATCAACCATTTCAAGTCAAATTGTCAGTTTTGTACTTAAGAAACATGCATTTTGAGGTTCTTGTACTCACATTATTCTTTAACTACATTATTATTAGATAAAACATATTTTACAAATTAGGATTTAACATGCATGACATAATTAGCTTGGCCTATATGAAATATGTAAAATTGTTGCATGTCAACCAGCAACATAAAGTATCTAAATATTACTTTTGATACTTGAAGTGCATTTTTTTTTGCATTTTGGAAATGTAAAATAGAAGTAAATGTGTTAATGATGGACGTATAATGTACTATTTCTACACTGTTGGATTGCTACTTCGACTAGGAACTACTTTCTCCATTGCAATTAAGAGTCAAATAATTCTTAACGCAGTAAGAATAAATGCATGTCGTAAAATGTTTGTATCCAAATTAGATTTCTGCTTATGGATTTCCTTTCTTGTGAATTTTTCTTTTAAAATTGCATTATTTTGTAACAATAAGTATAGAAAAAGAGTTCTGGGTGTTCATGGAGCATGTAATGTTGAGGTTAAGTTCTTCATTGCATCATATGTACATGTGAAGCCGCAGTGCCATCATTAATCAGGAGACCCTGCCTCTGTGCCTCCCACTGAGGCCAGACAGAGATGAAGTGTTTGGTTTGTGTGGCATGAGATGGTTTCTAGCTTTTTTACATAGTGGCACAGAAACATGTCCGCCTGAATTATAGTTGGTGAAAGACTGTTTGGACAAAAACAGCAAAACGCACATTTTGCCATAATCCTGCATCTTTAATAATACCTCAACTGCTTGCAAACATCTTCAAAATGCAGCCTTCTACAATATTTAAAAGCCCTCAAAGTAGTTCCATATTAAGGTGAGGGGATTTCAAGCAATTGTTGTCAATTGTTGTCTCTTTTATATGCCGCGTCTCTATATGACTTTATGAACCGCTCACCAATAAGTATATAATAACACGCAATAGTTCCTCTAAAGCCCGATAGAAGAACCACAGTCAAATTACTGTGCACTTAAATCATTTAAATTAGTTCTGAACTTCATCAGAAACAAGATATCTAATCGTTTTTGAACAACATCTAAATACTAGGAAAAAAGAAGTCAACATGGCATCACATCTGGACAATTTCAAACAAGGGGTTCACAACCTAAGGGTCGGAGTCCCCCCTGAGGGTCATAACATCAATCTGGAAGGTCACGTGAGGAAAGAAGAAGACTCCATTTTGTTTTTAAATTTAAATAGTAGAAGGTCTCAAAGACTCTAAAAAAGGTTAATGAGAAAAACATGCAATAGTACCTTTGACAAGCGGTTGCATATCGCATTGCATTATTTATCTTAAAGGCCCCGAAAATATATTTTCTCCTTTAGTCTCAGCACTAAGAGGGATGGTTCCTTCACAAACACACACTTTTAAGCTAAAGTTATGTACGTTTTGGTTATCTCACCAGGGAGACTAACTCATTTGTTTTTTCTTTGTGCTTTCCATTACTGGTTTAAGAGGGCGGGGCTTCATTTGGGGATAATGTGATGTCACATACTTTCATGCACCAATCAGGATTCAACAACATTAGAATTAGAATCTGAGACAATCTGAGGTTGTTTGCTCACTGTCAATTAAATCTGATAAACTCTAACCTAAGTAGACGGATATCTTTAGCATTTTTTAGTGTTAAACGCTTAATTCAAACTGGAGATATTTTTACTTAATTGTTACGCAACTGAAACCATTGTCACTTAACACAAACATGTGCTTCATAATCTGTTTGTTTTTTTCTTTTAAATAAATAATTGTGATTTTTTTTTACTGAATGTTTTCAATTAAAAAGCAAACATTTTTCTTTCAACTTTAACCAAAAACTGCTTCGAATCAGCAAACATTAACATCCGATTAGAATTAAGAGTTATGCAACCGCTTCCTTGTATAACCTTTGTACAATACTCTTGACCTTTCTTCTGAATACAAAATAAAAAACTATGCAGCACACTTAGTGACGTAATAATACGTTTACATAAGACAGGTTGAATAATACGTTTAATCACTTACAAGGTTTTGTGTAAAATGTCTGAGGAGGTGTTACATTCCAGAGTATTAGGTTGATAGGCTATTACTTGCGAAAGAGGCTTATATAAAGTCAAGTTAGTGGCACAATGGAGAACAATTGTGCCACTAACTCCTGAGAAAACAGACTGTTTGTTGTTCTCTGCCTCGCCTCACTGATGGCTGGTCAGGGATTTCATACACTTGACAGATTACCACTTTAATCTTTCATGTTTTTTAATTTATATTCCTGTGTTTTAGGATTTTTTTCGTTGCAAAAATAAATAGAAAAGTTAGGTTCCATAAAGTTTAAGCAACATGCAGCCTGGAATGTTCTGAGCATTTGTTCAGGGCTACTTACAGATGAAAGTAAGCTTTTTATAGTGTTTAAATCCTATTACAACTCCAAACGAGGTGGTGTTTTACTCCGCCGTTCACAGCTTCGAAGCTGACTAAACATTCTCCACCTTCAGCATTGATTAACTCATGTTAAGCTGGAGCCCACTGTCAGCCCATCTACGGACATTTAAGGTGGAATAGCTTCTTTCCAAAAAAAGTTGGTAAACTGCACTTCAGTGTTAATGTTAGGCTGTATAAAGGCTTCCTAACCAGGGTGAAAGCCTCGGCGGTGTGAAAGTGAGATGGTGCTCATGGCCTGTTGTTGGGGCTACACTGGCTGGTGCTTTAAGCTGCAGGGAAGATTAACATGTTCCCAGCTCCATGAGCAACATGGTGTTAACACTGCCTGCGGATATAGTGGTCCATTTGGAAATGCAAGTTTGCAAAACAAACAACTCACTCATAGCATGAATCATTTTGTGAACTTTAGGTATTTCGTCAGATTTTTACAGTGTTCGTCCAAGAGATTAAGTTTAACCACCCATCCATTTTCGCTCAACACTGTGTTTTTGTTGTCGTTGCGTCACTTTTGTTTTTCGCATTCGTCCGCTGAAGGACGATGTTTTCTCTGCTAAATAGGATTGTTGGTCCTGCATGAGCTTAATTTGTGACGTCACAAATGTTTTGTAGCCAAATATGGTCCAGTATACACTTTAGCAATTAGGGTGTGGACATTTCAACATCAGGTATGTACAACGATCACTACATTTTTTATTGAAGTAGACGACATTTTTTGTCTTTAAGCGAAATTGTGCATATTCATAAATACCGGATTTTTTTCTGTTAGCAAAAGTGAGTACATGTAATTTAATATATGCTTTTGCTGAAAATGTTTATATTGTTAACAATAATAATAATAATAATTCGTATTTGTATGTGTCTCTGTATGTCATTAAGGGATCTTGAAGGGTATATCATTATTTTAAAAAGAATTCAGGGCATATAAGATGCAGATATTAGATCAGTGCTTAAATATACAGTGCATTTTTAAACGTGTAGATAACCAAGTTTAAAATTAATCACACAAAATAACTTTTGCTTATAGACACAACAGCCAACATAACAGCCAATAAATAAAGCTTTAAAATGCGATGGACGTTAACCAGTTCAATTTCTCTTTCATGTCCAAACTTCACAAAAAACAACTATCTGCTATTTATTAAGGTATTTAAGTTTATTACAGTTTTATACCTTCATACTTGTTTTTATATATTTGAAAAATATATTCTATAAACATTTCAAGGGTCTCACACTGTTTTTGTGTTTATGCTTTTCAAGTAAACATGAAAATGAAGGGTTGGCGCGCTTATTTTTCTCATCTTGACTTAGTTCTATATACGATCGAAAAAACGTCATGGAACATTTTCCGTAAAAAAACAACAACACGTGAATTATTAATATAGTCAGGAATATAGTAATGATTAATCAAGCAACTGTAATATTAGAACAACAGAATAATAATAAAAAAATAAAATAATAATAATAATGGACGAATATGTGTGTTGCAACCCCGCTCGGGATAGGAGTAATGGGAGATTAAGAGATTAACCGGGTGCATAGTCAACCTTAAGTGTGCATGCACAGTTGTAACCAATAGGCGGTACTGTGCCATTCTTCATGGAGCTCTCCATCTCCAGCCCTGAGGACAACACTGCATCTCTGCTTTGGGTTGCTCCCTAATTGACCTAAATACAGCATCTCTGCTCCCTGCAGGCAGACGATCACACAGAGGCTGCGAGGAGCGAGACAGTCTCGGGTTTTTCTTCTGGAGTAATTCCTCGTCTCTCCAGGACGATACTTATGTCTGGATCTCTGACAGCGGAGGCTTGAGCTCTCGGTGCTCTCATGGGTCGCGTCGGGATGGTTTACGCGGAGCAGAAGACACTCCTGGCTGGGAACAACACATACCGTGGAATGATTTTATAAATCAGAAACAGCGTTTTGCTTCGGATTTCATGACTGCGAGGAAGGACGGACAAGTAAACATGCTAGATAATAAATCGCCGAGATCCAAGCTGGGTCCTGCGTCCAGAGGTTGCTCATTTTACATTGAGAATTTGCTGGGGACTGCATACAGAGCGGCTTCGTCCGAGGAGAGGGTGGAGACCGAGAGATTGAAAGTAACCGACCGCAGCCCGGTGATCTGTCCGGGACTGGAAACTAAACGTCTGGATGAGAGAGGAGTGTTAACCGGCTGCGGGACATCACCAAACACAGCGTACGGCAGCTCAAGAAGTAAGTGCATCCAATAATATTCGCATTGGTATGTCCTGATCTGTTAATACAAAGTACGGGAATAACACATGTTGTGGAAAGAGTAAATAACAGCTCTTATTGTTAATTCGGGCTCATATCTGCTTTAAAGGGTTGGAACATGATTAAAAACGGTCATGACAGCAGTTATCCTCACTCTACCAAACACGAACCACTTGCAATGGCACATTTTGTCCGTATAAAAACACACGAACTTTGAATTACGTGCGTAAAAGTTTGAAATCATGTCTCGCAGCACTTTCACAAAAACAGCCGGTTATTTAACAGGTCACAAGAGGCCATGACACATGGGCTGTGGCACGTTTTAGTGACTCGGTGGGTAAAACACCCTAAACTCCCCAATTATAAACCGAGCGCGAGCCAAAAGTGTTTGGCATCGACACAACACTCTCACTCTGATGCTCTAAATAGAACTGCAGCGGAGATGTGATGCTTATTTATAATGTTGGAACCGCATGAATGGGCACATTTAGTGCAAAAACATGTCAGATAATGTCTTGCTATTGGACAGGAGCGAAATGAAGCTTGAATACTGGGCAGGATTTCATTATGTTTCCTCACTGCCCGTAGGTCCATCGCACAAGGACGAACACACAGACGCTGTGCCAACAAGCGACCGGGATTCCCCAACTTTAACAGGGCGGGAGGAGAGCGAGGAGCCGGGGGAGAAGGGGGACTACAGTTTGACGGATGAAAGAGAGGAGGACGATGCGCGATCCTCCTGCTTCTCCCGAGAAGACAGCTGTGATACAGGTGAGGCCGAATCAAAGGTTATAACAGACCCCTTTAAAAAAAAAAGTAACCCACTTTATAGGGCATTCGTCACTACTACGCATGCGCTAACGTTGGGCATTGTTAGTATTGTCCATCATTTTTGGAAGACCAAAAATGTTTTGGTTTTGTAGTTTCTAAATGTTGGTGTATTTGAATATTTTTCTTGGCTGAGGATATTAGCATCAAGGGGCAACACAAGTGTTATATTAGGTCGCAGGGGTGTATCTGGGAGTTTAGTGAGTCATAGTGGGTAATTTAAATAAGTTGGTTCCCTGGATTGGCCAACAACAGTTATGTTTGTTTTGATCAATAAACAGTTTTACTATTAACTTCCCAGAAATGTTGCATTTAAAACGTTATCACTAAATACCAATATTGGTATATCTGGCAGATGATATTATCCATTCACCATTTTCAAATTACACTGCACTGTTAGCGTAGTTGTAACCAGTTCCATTTAGTAACCCTTCTTCTGCTTCCTTGCAGGTGACCAAAAAGTGCCACGAAAGAAGAAGACCCGCACCGTGTTCAGCCGGTGTCAGGTTTTCCAGCTCGAGTCCACTTTCGACCTGAAGCGCTACCTGAGCAGCTCGGAGCGAGCCGGGCTAGCCGTCTCGCTGCAGCTCACCGAGACCCAGGTGAAGATCTGGTTCCAGAACCGCAGGAACAAGTGGAAGAGGCTGATAGCAGCCGACATGGAGGCTAGCAGTGCCGCCCTCCCCTACGCCGGCCAGAGGATCGTCAGAGTTCCCGTGTTGTATCGCGAGACGCCACGGATGGTCGGCTTCTCCAATTCTATCCACTATCCATTGACTTCCCACTTCAGCCATCCGGTGTCGTTCCTAACAACGCAGATGACAGGACTGAGGTGACTTTAAGAAAGAGACGGAGAAGACTTTTGACTCTTTTGGGCCCAATGTTTCTGCAAAAGTATTAATTTTGGTTCAGTTTCTGATCCTGTTGAGTTAGATGATCAATTTATGCATTCCAATTTATTTATAACAAATGCTACTGCTAAACAAGTACCTTTGGAATATAAAGTGTAGGGACAATAATTGAGGTTTAAAGGTGCCCACAATCATGTATTTTATAGAGGACATCTCACACCAGGTTCATAGGTTTTATGTATTGCTCTATTTTTATTATTTTTCACAGAAATTGTATTGAAGAACCATATCTATGGGATCTAATAAGGGTCAATACGATTGAGTTTGTGAAACAAGCTTTTGGCATGGAAAGTCTTTGTAAACCTATAAAACGTTTCCTCCAGATTCTGGGTGAAATTGAAAAAAATTGTTGCAAAAATAGGAATGAGCTCACAAATTTGATCAATGCTCAAGACCTTGAAAACTGAATTTGACAAATATTTGATGAAACTGTGAAAACGAGTTAGACGTGTATTCTGCGTGAACATTTTGTTCATACTCTGGCTTTGTAAATGGCAATCAAACTACTTTTTCAGTCAGAGCTACACAACAATTTTCCAGGAGGGAAATGCTATTTATGTATAGAAAGGCAGTGGTTTCTGATCTGCAAAGATAGGAGGGGTGCATTTGTTCAGGTATTTGTTTCAAAATATCATCAATCTTTCTCTAGAATCGTAGCCTGCACCTTTAAGGTATACGAGTATAAATGTTTTCCCTGCGTTTACAGACAAATTTAGGGTTAACATTTCCATTTTTAGCTTCTACTTTTAAGCTGTTCTCCTAGTTTCATGCAGTTTTTGTCGCAGGTTTATAAAAGGTTATAAACAACCACATTATGATTCTTTCTGAACATGTTTTCACAAGCTCTGAATCTTACCGACCCTATTTGAGCCCATACACTAGTTGTGAGTATTATGAACTGTGTTCTCGGTTTGATCAAATAAACTGTAGAGACTATAGATCATTTATGCAAAGGAGTTTGGTGTTTGTGACTTTTGATAGCTGTGAGCATGGGTACGTTGTTAGCAATATTCTTTGACACTATTTTTTATTTAAGAGGATTTTAATACAGACTTTTGTACACTGATATGTTCACATGTGAATAAAAATATATGCACAAATTGTTTGGTGGTTTTTTGGGCTAGGCAAATTGGTAACTTGGATTGTTTCCTTTCCTTTTTTTTCCACTACTAAAAATCAGGATGTATAAAATTAACAATGAAGGCCAAATAAAAAAAGGGATTAGGGCAAATTCAGACGTTGGATTAAAGGTTTCAGGCTGTCAAAGTATGAGAAAAAGGAATGTTTTACAGCTTGACCCCATCTTTTAGGGCCTTAAATTCTCAAAGCCATGCATGTAAAAAGTTGTTAAACTGTGATGTAAATATGGCTAAATAAATTGGATGTCATGGAACCCCAAAGTTCTCACAACTCTAAGTCAAGTGGACTTCACAAGGAACTGTGCAAATGTTAGTCTGAGTCAGTATTGTGGTGCATGGAGCCAGGAAGCAAGCGTTTCTACGACAGAAAGGGGTTTTAAAGCCACATGGCAGCCAAGCGTACGTCTGTATCCCGCCCTCATCTGCCCCACACCCTCACCAATCAGGAGCTGCTAAACCGCAGTCTTCCGGGTCGCTGAAGAACGTCGCAACTCGCTCCTCTGCGCGCGCTATTCGCAGCCGAGGCGCAATGGTGCTCGGAGCGTCCGGAGACGTCGGTGTTTCGGGAATCTCGGAGGAGCAGATGAAATGCCCAGGAACATGAGCAAAGAGGATGCCCCGAGCCGGAGCGCTTCTTTGACCTTCACCATCGACAACATCCTGAACCTGAAGCAGCGGGACAGGGGGGACAGTGCCGGGACCAAGGAGCGGGGGGACACTGGATGTAAGGAGGATATACGAGCGCGGTGTGGGGACCCGTGGGACGTCCGGAGGAGGCAAGGCAGCGGCTCAGAAGAGACAGGTAACTGGGAATTTATAGAAATAAATCAGTAATAAGTATATGGAAGTATCGAATGCATAATGGCTAATACAAAAGAAGAAATCTGATATTATTTGGAACTTCCAATTGGTTTGTTTATGTATCACTATAGCACTTGCTTGTTTGTTTCTTCATAGTTGAATGCATTTTAGTTTATTCTCTTTATTAAGGCGTCAGCTAAATGTAATGTTATGCCTCTCCCGTATTTTAATTTCAATGACTAATACATTTTGGAAGGAATGTAGAAAGAGTTAGGCTGATGAAGCTGTTGTGCACACACATAAAGCTGGATCCACACCAAAGAGACTCATTTAAAAATTTTTTTTGAAACTGCAGGGGGTATAACCCAGACCAGTCAGGTGATGTTTTTATAGTTAATAATCATGCTCCAGTAATTATTGAGCAGTTTCTTCGCAAAAAAGTAGCGCGTAAGTTTGCATTTTCCGCTGCATCAAAGCTCGTTTTGTCGCTTCATTCACAGCGGCAGTGAAGCCCATGGTGCAGCGCGCGGACCTCGGGGACGACAGCCCGCCGCGGACCGCTGGCTCCTGTCCCGGGGCGCACAGTGAGCACAGCGCCGAGGACGCGTCCGAGCAGGATGGCCCAGGGGACTCTAAAGGCATGGTGAAGAAGAAAACTCGCACCATCTTCTCCAAGAGACAGATCTTCCAGCTGGAAGCCACTTTCGACATGAAGCGGTATCTGAGCAGCTCGGAGAGAGCGTGCCTCGCCAGCTCGCTGCAGCTCACAGAGACTCAGGTGAAGATCTGGTTCCAGAACCGCCGCAACAAGCTGAAGAGACAGGTCTCCTGCACGGACATGGAGGGGTCTCAGCTCTCAGACGCGGGCAAAAATGTGCAATTACCCACTTTTTACAAAGACAGCAGCAGCCTGCTGGGAGGATGCTTGTTACCCATGCATTTCCCCGTCATGTACCCCACTGCAGCCGCCGCGCCTTACATCTACTTCTCCAACACTGGCAAATATTATGGCCTGTTCGATGAAGACTGAGGCCGTTTCTCTGTTTGGAATCACAAGACAGTGTGTGGACATTTGAGCATACAGTGTCTCCTGTTTTGTCTTTTGGACTTGCCCTTTTTTTGTTTTTACTTCATAAAAAAAAAATCTCCCATTAATCCAAGACATGCATGTGCCACTTTTTGTCCTCCTCCAAATTAAATATTATTATTATTATTATTATTATTTTTCAATGCTTAGGACGTTTATCTTCAGAAAAATGTGCATGCAGTTTTATGGCCAGTTTTATTTCGAGCAGTAATGTCATCTGAAAGAATGTACGTTAATGTTTCATCGACTTCATAAATCTGCAATAATATATATTTTATTTTCGTTATCTCGTGGTTTAAACCCTTAAGTAGTTTATGTGGAACAATTTCATTTGTATCTATATGGCCTTATTTTTTTTAATGAACTCTTATCGTTTGTTTTCGTGACTTTTCAGACTATTACACTGTAAATACAGTTACTATATCATGATGAATTTTACAATAAAAAGGTGTAATATTTGCAATTTTACCAACGTGTGATGACTCGAGCTGAATTATATTCGGACTAAAGACTAAAATCTACTTCCTTATTGATTATTGATTGTATTTCTCTTTTTATCGTACATTTAGGTTATTGTTATTATTTACTTGTAATTATTTGTTGCTATTTTGCATTGCCATCAACTAAGTCAAAGTTTAGATTTTTCCCCTGAATTGGCAAAGTTGGTGGTAATGACTTTTTTAAACCTTATAATATTTTTAAAAAACATTAAAATAGTGGCTCCAGGTTGCATTACTCGTTTTATAGCGCACAAACTCGCCTTTGTGAAATATTACTGAAGCGAGTTGTTATTGACATAAAGTAGTTAACAGCAATATTTCACTTTTCATTGTTTAACTACAAATTGTGTATAGCACTGCTTCAGCAGAGGTGGAAGAAGTAGCAGTGTAAAATACTCTGTTAAGTTCCATAAGTAAAAGTCTTCAAAATGCAAATCCATTTAACAATCACATATCTTAATGGATTATTAATGTAAACATTGCTTTCATATTGCAGCTGTTGAATAGGGCTAATAACCTTAGCATCATTATTTATTAGTTAATTTATATTTTGTTGTATTAACAAAACTAACTAAATCCATCATGTGTATTAAGAACAATATTTCTCACCTTAATGTAGTAAAATAGTATTATAAAGTAAAATAGAAATAATCAAGTGAAGAAATGTGCCTAAGCCTATTTGCAATAACAAAGAATATTTTTATTTTGTATGATCATTATTCCAATTATTGTGCATTAACTAGTTAGCCCCCTAAACTGTGTTCCTAAACTTCCGAAATGTGTAAACCAGTTTGTCTGTTGGGCTTCATTTAGACATGTATGTGAAAGTGGCTCCATCTTTCAAAACACCTCATCTTCAATCTGTTACCATGTTGCTTAATATATAATTAATGTAAGCATGTTCTATTCTGACATAAATGTATTCAGCTAATCAGAAACTTTTATAAGTCATTGATTTAAATGTAAACAGATCAGATGAGAAGATGTCTCTGGAAAATGCTTCTTTTTAGAAGTAGAAAAACAGAAACAACTAACACAATCAAATTGTTTATATAAATAGTTTGATTCGCTTGTGTTATTGGTTATTCTTACTTTAACTTCTTATATTTATTATATAAATATTTGTACTCTATTTATGTTTTATTTATTTCCAAAATCGAGCAATTGTCACAAAACCATATTTCAGGATTAATAAAGTATTCTAAAAGGTAAAATCTACAAAAAGGACAGACCAAAATGCATTCATAAAGTTTAAAGACAAATAATTCAATTCAATTGCATCTTCTTTCGGTTTACATTTAAAAGTAAAGTAGTTCCCTCAAACCATGGAATCCTTAAAAGATGTTGTCATGTTGTTAATGAACACATCCAGAGGGTTTCCCACTATCTGTCTTTCTCTGCCTTTCCAGCATTATGAGAGGCACAAATGTAGCTGAGTAATGCATCTCCGCAGAGAGGGCGAAAAAACAAGAGAAATGTGTATTTAGGTGGACTTGCATCAGTGCTTCTGGAGAGACCTTTCCTAAAGGGCCTGGCAAGCTGCACTTACACACCGTTTCCGGGTCACTTCCCCCTTCAGTGCTGGAGCCTCTCACTGCTCTCTCCCTGTCACAGCCATTCAGGGCCCCGGCGCTGTTAACCTGCTCACTCAACCACTTAGTCTGCCTGCAAATCTGTTGTTGTCTCTACTAAATTCCTCCCCACCTATGCAGAGCAGTTAGAAATCTACTGTAAAATTATCACCAAAGGATTTGAGGTTGTTGTTTAACATGTTAGTTTTAAAATGCAGAGTGTTAAAGAAAGGAATACCTCTTCAACAAGATTTTGGATTATGTACGCATCGATAGGCTATCTTGTGAAAGCCCTCTTTATAAATTTGGAGTAAATTAAAAGGAAAACTCTTAACATTCTACATAAAGATACACTTATTAGTTCATTCTTCTCTTTTTAATGTTGTTTCTTGCATTTATTTAAACAAATCAAAGCACTATGGATACTTTAAACTGAAGGGTTCGATTCATTCAACTGAGAGCAACCTTTTAATTGCAAGGCTAAAATATCTTATTGGTATGATCAATTACAGCGCTATTCTTAATTGTTTGAATATTTACTATTTTGGAACCAAGTTTGTACTATTGCCCTATAAGCTTTAACATTACAAAGTTGAATTTAATTTGAGCATTCAACCGACCAGCCGTGGCTCAGCCAACTATTCCCTCCCTGCCTCAGTGCCTCACCCCCATTCAGATGTATATATTATTAATTATACTGTAGTCAGTGGATAATAAGGAATGTGTATTAGTTTAGGCAATCCACAGCATATTTCTACCCTGCTTTTATATAAGTGGAATTGGTGTTGACTATAATACCAATTCACATTACAGAAATGTTTTACGAGTATCAGTGTAAATTACGAGATGCATCAAGAACCATGCAAATTGTTGTTGACTTCATAGTCGCACAATAATGTAATAGACGTCTTTGAACATATTTTAGTTTATAATAGTTTTGAACTGTTACATGTCTGATCTGTGCTAGAGGGATAAATTAAGGTTTTGCAAGTAAATGGGCTACGAGTGTAAACATAAAACCTAGACCAAATGTGCCTACATTCACAGACATTCATTTCTTTAAGTTATTTTTTTAAAGTATAAACGTGTGTGTGTGTGTGTGTGTGTGTGTGTGTGTGTGTGTGTGTGTGTGTGTGTGTGTGTGTGTGTGTGTGTGTGTGTGTGTGTGTGTGTGTGTGTGTGTGTGAGAAAACAAATCTAAACTATAAAGGACACCACTAAAAAATATTTCAGCACCATGTACATTTAATGTATAGACGCATCCGAAATCAAACAATTTCAAATACTGATGGGAAATTACCATTTTGTGCATTTATCTTCTAACCACAAATTCTAAATACAAACATTATTGATGTAAAACGAATAATTAATAATAAACACTCGTCGGATTTTTATGTTCAATTTTCTTTCCATTTCTATTCTATTCAATTGTTTGGGGTTGGGGAGACACTATGTCTGCATATAGATAATGGACGGCCCTTATATTATTATGCTACTGTTTATTAAGGTTAGGTTAAAGGTTGGGTTTATCATCAAGCAGTTATGGTTAAATTAGTGAATGGGTGGATGTAAGCCAATACAAATGTCCTCATCACAAGTGTAGTAGTGCAGGTTTGTGTGTGTAGAAGCGCCTGCTTGGTGGTCTTGTTGTGGTGTCTTGAGATGGGTGGGGGCTGGGGGGGCGGCTGGGCGTGGGGGGGCATGGTGGGGTTTACAGATCGCCAGGACCAAATTCCTGACTCTCGCGCTGTCGGACAAACACCGTGTGAGCGCAGACTCTCGCGCTGTCGGACACTTGTGAGCGCAGCGTTGGCTCTTTGTGTCTCAGCACTCTGTTCTCCAACCACAAGGTTCAAGTGACCCCACCGGCTGCCTGCAGTCTGCCCAGACCGGACTGCACCCCCCACACCCCACCCATATCTGTCAAAAGGCGAAGAAAATCCATTAAAATCTCAACCTGATCAAAAAGACGCCCAAAGCTAAGACACATATGCACTCATTTAGGGCTATCGATGACTGGCGAGCATTGTGCGGTAGCCTAATACACGCGATTGACTTACTGCCAACAGGGGCAACAAAGAATGTTTTTCTACAAAAGAAACAGCGCTAGAGTTTGGCGGAGTTATTCCAAGCTGATGTTCAACTCAAGGACATCCAGAGCTGTCAGCACGTTCCTCCAGTTTGACCAGTGCTAAACCACGCCGCACATGGTTTCCATTCCATGATAAATACTTGAAGGCCGAACACTATTGTTTGAAATCATTGATCACAGAATTGCAAGTGATGATGTGGTCCCACCGAATGATTGTGGTGGGTGTTTCTCTCATGCCGTTAGCATGCAAATAAGGAAATGTGGCACGATGACCATGCCTTCGCTTCACCATTGTTTAGACATCGATGTGAAGTTATTTTACATCATGAACAAACTAAAGAAAAGTGAATAGAGACCGATGTTTGTACTTACTGTACTGCAGGGATATCAGTACTGCTTTGAACTGTCTGTACTACAATGGTGCATGAGTGTGTTAGCTAGCTATCATCTTGATTTTGTTTCAAAGAGGTTGAGATCACGTCATATCTCATTTCATCTCCCTAACGCCGGGTGACATCTTTGATTGAGATTTCCATATCAATCATTCACCACTGGCCTTGTTCGTAACCAGACCCGAACGTCTGGATAGTTGTTTAAGGAGCCATTACATCCCTGTTCACACCCTACTTGGCGCGCTACGCTGAAAAGCTCGCCTGTTTTGCAGTGAGCTCTCTTTGTGCATTCTCAAATGGGATTTATAATTACTACCAATTACTGTTTAAACTGCCTCGAGGAGAAGACTGAGCTTAATTTCTTAAAATGATGCAGAAGTGAGCTGGA